AAAAAAAAAAAAAAAAAAAAAAAATTTAGTTTATGGGAAAGTGATGTTTGAGTTGGGTCTCTTACCCAGCCTAACACTGTAGCAGAGCAGACCAAATAGGAGGGAAAATGGGGGTTCCCAGAAACTTTGAGACTAGCAAGGAAGTGGTTGTGATACTTCTGGCGAGATATGAAAAGGGTCTGTACCAGCATAAGAAACCATCAGAATGGCAGCGAATCATGTGAGAGCAGTTCAGAAAGTAAACATGTCAAGACATGGTGAACAGCTGAATAGGGGGAAAGAATAAGGGATAGAGGAACTATCATTTGTGACATTAAGGTGCTATTCACTGAGATAGGAAGCACAGGGCAAGTATGTTTGTGAGTGAAATATAAAGTGTTTGGTTTGGACTTCTTAAATTTGAAGTGCTGGTAGGATACTCAGGTGGAGCTGTCCAGCAGACACTTGGAAATGGTAGTCTAAGACATGGTCGGAAATAGAGATTTAGAAAGATAGTTGGGCCACAAGAGTGAATGAGACCTTCAAGGGTAGGGTGGAGAGTGGAATGAGAAGAGAGCTGGGTTTGGAACCACAGTGAACAGTTAATGAGGCAAAAGCAAAAGAGGTCCTTTAAAAAGAAAAGGACTTAGGCAATAGGAGACTACAGAAGATATGTCAGCCAAGTAGAAGGCTCAGAAGGGAAGTAGAGGCACAGTGTCAGATGCTGCAGAGAAATAATTGAAAAGTATCCTTTGGATTTCAACCCCAAAAGTCAATTTAAGTGAGGTGGTAAAGGCAGAAGCAGACTGACAGAGTTCAGGCATGAGCTGTAGATGAGAAGTGGAGGCAGGTGCTTCCCAGGTCCAACAGAGCTCTGTAGCCGCACTTAAGTTCAAACTGACATCTTCCAGGGTAGACAGGCTCTCTTACTTATCTGTGATCTCAGCATCCAGTACACGGCCTGGAAGAGGGGCTGGTGTCCGTGAGTTCAGTGACTAGGGATGGAGGAACACTTCGCAGAGGCAATCGCTTTGCAGCCAAGGCTTGAAGGATGAGGGTGATTGGGAGGAGAGGTGGGAGGCAGGGCCTCTGGGTGATGGGGTACTGGAGTGCAAGGGGGTCTGGGAATGAGGTGGGGTTCCCATAATGTGCGCGCGGCTCGGGTGCGACAGGCAAGGACTGTGTGTGGGTTTGGAGGGACCTATTTGAAGAAAAGACACAGGGCCGAAGGCTGCTGTTGGGGGGTGGCCCTCCGCCCTGCCCCACTTATGCCACTGCGAGGTTCCAAGGCATCTCTACCGGAGCCCTCCTACCGGGCTGCATGGTGACGGGTGACCGCCAGGGGCCGCTGCCTCCGGTCCCCGGTGCCCCCGCCCCTCTCCATTGGCCTTTGTTGCCGTCGGAGCGCCCCGCTTGACTCGTTCCGGTCCGCCTCCTGGGCCTGGCGGTCGCGCCTGCGCACTGGCAGCTGGCCGGGCGCTCGCAGGGGGAGCTACTGCAGGCTCCGCGGCGGCGGCGGCAACGGAGGCTGCGGGGGCGGCGGTGCGAGCGGCCGGGCTTGGTTGGGGAGCCGAGCCCGGCCCAGGAACCCGAGCAGCGAGAGTGCGGGGTACCTAGGCCCCTCACGCTGGACTTCACAGTCTCCGGGCCGCCTGACCTCCGCACGGGTATATGGGATGGAAGCGGGACCCTCGGGAGCAGGTAAGGGCCCCCGGAAGGGGTAACGGTGCATGCTCCAAGGATCGGGGGCCCCCGCATGTAAAGCGTGGTTTCCAAGTGAGGGAAGCGCTCCTGAGTGAGGAGAAGGGCTCTCACATGATGGGGGCCCAGTTTGAAGGAGGCTGTGTGCAGTTCCGGGGGAGAACCATGTGAAGAGAGCCCTGAGATGGGGGCTGTTTGTCCAAGGAGGCTGTATGCAGTCCTGCGGGTTGGAAGTAATCCTGGAGAAGGGCCTGCACGCGCGGAAGGACTCCCAGACATCCAGGGAGGCCTACGGAGAGGCCCGGCAGGTGGCAGGGGACGGGCTCCAGGTGTCCAGGAGAGGAAGGGGCGACACAGATGGGCCTGGACCTACTGCATGTCGGGGGCGGGGGCTCCGCTGGGATGGGATAGGCTAGTGTCTCTTGGGAGAAGGCGCCAGAGCTGGACCGTGAGCTCCGCCCCAGCCGGGTCTGACGCGGGGGCGAGGGTCAGGGGGCTGGTGGGTGGGGACCCGGTCCCGGGATTCCCCCCCTGAGTCTGGGGAGTAGGAGCGGAGCCGCCGGAGCATGCGCGGAGGTGGCAGCTGGAAGGGGCTGCCTGATGTGGTGGGGGCGTGGCTGTCCGAATACCCCCATCTCTTCCCCGCCCTGTTTGGCTTGGAAAAAGGAGCGTGCTGATGGGGTGCATTCTGCCTTGGGTTATGCTGGCAGAGTCCAAATGGTTATGCTCTCCTCCCCTATTTTAGGGGCTCTGACATTTGGCCCTGAAGCACCTCAGTCACAGTTTGCCAAGAATGGGTTGAAGGAAGCTGCCAAAGTGCATTGTTCTGCCACAGTAAAGACTGGTACCCAAATAATGTTCTGAAGGTGGGTCCTCCTGAAGATAGGCCTTAGGAAAGATGTTGGTTACTGAGGAGTCAAGGACAGGACAGGGGCTACCTGGAAGGACTTGTCTACTTGGTTTGTAAGCTTCTGGTCCAATACTGAGTAGAGATCGTAGCTTTACTTTGGTCATAATCCAAAGATAATGACCTTTTCCATTGAATTGTCTGTTGAGGTTACAGTCTACATTTATAACATTTATTATAATATTTCTTAATATTTTCATGGCTCCTATCTTACACTGGATCTTTCCGTTTTCCTTTCCCCACTCCCCAGAAACTATCAGGGCTGTCTTTAGAGCCAAGATCTAAACCCTACAAACAAGTTGGAATCTGGAGGAGTTTATAGCCTTCACACTGGTGAGGCCCAGGTGATAGCCTTAAATTCTAATTTACAGGCAATGAGGATAAAAAGACATAGGAACAGAGGACAAACTGAGGCAGGACTGTCTTAAGAAAACTGGAGTCCTCGGGATGGGCTTTGGGGTGGGATACCTTTTGTGTCTTAAGTTTCTTACCCTGTGATGGGACGGGGAGCCTGGACCTGGGAATTCTTTAGGTCATCTCTCACCACTTTGTTACATTTGGTCTGGGGATGGGAATCAAATTTCCATTTGGGACATGAACTTCATTACTTTTGTAGTGGAAATGATTTTGTCTTTTGTAGCAGACCTAACTCCCCCCAACCTTCCCAAGGTACTAGCTCCTACCACCTCACTCAACTTATCCATTTACTGATCTATAAGTACTTAGTGACTGTTTTCCCTCAACAGCCAACCTTGTATAGGCTGTGTAGCCCTGAGGATAAGCGTAGGGAGCAACTGACTTGAGTACTTCCTCTCTGTCAGGCCCTTCTCTCCATCCCAGGAACTCCTGTTTTGCAAGGCTGGGGACTATTTACAACAACCGGTGGAGTAGAGTAGTGGGGTGGGTCATTGAGGATGGATTGCTGGGTGCTGGTACCTGTTCTAGACTAATGATTTTTATCCTGATGAATTCCTAATGGGCTCTGGAGTGATGAAAATTTGACTTTTTAAAAATTTGCTACAAAAAATAAGCTTCTAGGAAAGGAACTAGAACCTGGTGTTTGGAGTCAGCCATAGCCTTGGGAAAAGCCTAGTGGGACAGGCTTTGCCTCAGTGAAAGGTATAATTGAGATTCAGTCTGGAAGCTGCAGCTTGAGGGACCCCATAACTGCCTCCTTCCTAGGCCCAGACTGTTCTCTTGTAAGAAGCTGGGGCGTTGTCCCGAGGTGACCTAAGGACATGATACAGAAAAAAAAAGCATTGAAAAAAAAAAAAAAAAAAAAAAAAAAAAAAAAAAAAAAAAAACCAATAAAACCTCACTGGGCTTATGCCCAGGTCCGCCTTCTGTGCTCAGGTGTGTTCCAAGCACTTACACTGGACTGGCGCTCCCTGAGGGTAGAAGCGGTGTCTCGTTTATTTGTAGAACTAGCAAGTGCCTAGTGTATAGGCCCTGACACAGAATACACGTTTATTAATTGAATCAAGTCACATTCAAGTGTGAACATAAATGGTTAAGCACATATGTGGATATTTAATAAAGTGTATACTCACATGGGACAGATCCTTTTAGGAGAGATTGGCCTGTAAGTCTTTGCGTACCCACCAGCTAACCTAACCTAACCTTGAATTTGTATCTTTTGAATAGGCACTCTGGCTCTTTGGGAGGTACCTAGGCCTCAGAACTGCAGGAAAGGAATCCTGAGCCAGGGCTTTCAGCTCTGTTACTTTTCCTTCTCTGGGCTCCTTGGGGATGGGGGAGGGGGAGTGTCCTTTTCAGGGCCCCTCCCTCCTTGCTTTTGTCTGAAGAGAAGGGCCCCGCCCCTTTCCCCCTAGGCCCAAGCTTTGTCCTCTGTGCTGGGGCCCTCATCTGCATCACAAAGTGGCCGTCTGTCCCTGTCTGGGTCTGAAGGGAAGTGTCTCCCTTTCTCAGACTAAAAGCTGGGGTAAGGGGGGCGGGGAGGAGACTCTGCTGTTGTTAGGCTTTCAGGGAGATGGAATGGGAGAGAGGTGCCTGCTTCCTGCTGTCTTTCCTAGTTTGGAGATGAAGTGGGGGTGTGGGCTCCCCTGTTTTCCCAAAGCCTCCTTGGAGAGGAAGGTGCTCTAAGGCTATGTCTGGTATGTAGTTGGGTTTTGGGGAAGAGAAGGCTTTGAGGCTAGGGTGTCTGTCCCATCCCCCATCATTTCTAACTAGCCCCCAGCTCAAGGGGTTGTCTTTCTCCCAAGGCCCCAAATGATGATTCGGTCTGGAAGGAGAAGGAGGTGAATGGAATATAAGAAGTTGGGGAGGGAAAGAATGTCTCTTACTGGCTACACCCACAAATGTGCATTTGTCCTGTATAGTGTTTATAATTGTTTCTGGGCAATTGCAGGTGTTCGTGTGTTGCGTGCTTGTGTGCTTTTGTGGTGTGTCTATGGATATGTTTGTTCATTCATTTCATATCAGTATGTTGAATACTTCCTGCGTGTGTGCCAGACACGAGATTAAGCAGTAACCAAGGCAGATACATTCTCTGTCTTTGAAGAACTCAGTCTAGGGCAGTGAGGGATATGTGTATAAGCATAAACTGCCAAGGTCTAAGTGTGTGTTTGGATGTGTGTGATGGGAATGTGTGTCTGTGAGCTTGTGTGCAATTTCTGTCCAGCACTTTCCGAGGTAGGCAGCTAGGTGTTGAGTAAACCTCTTTCACTTCACCACGTAGCTGATTTCTGAAGAGACCTTTTGCATCCAGGCTGGGCCTCTGTTTCCCTGTCTGCAGAGTGGGACTGGGCTTGACAGGTGGTTAGAGGGAAACAGAGCAGCTTAGCTTTGGGAAGCTGCCCCTCCCATGAATGGTTCTGACCTCTTCCTGACCCCCAGCTGAGGATATGCCCCATCCCCCTAGCTGGTCTGACTGTGAAAACAGAGGTCTGGTAATGGGAGGTTCTGGGCTGGTTTATCCCTCTTCTCCCACCTGCGCTGGTTCTCTACTGCCAAGAACAAGAGCTGAGGACAAAGGCATATTCCCTTTTCTTCTCTCTTCCCCCTTAGCTAGAAAATAAGACGGCAGCCAGACTGGCAAAAGAGGATAAAGTAGCTGGAGCTGGCCCTACCCTATTCCTTTCCCAAGGGCCCCCTCTGTCTTGAAATTGATCTCTTCTGCTGCTGTCTGGACCTTCTGTGTGGAAGGATCTGCGAGGCAGGGAGAGAATCCTGTGTTCTTCCCAGACCCAGTGCCTCTTCTCCAGCATTCTAATTCCCACCTCTTCTTACCAAACGCCTTAGTTCTTTCTTTATTCAAGCTTTTTTATCGTTGTCTCCCCAAATGCAGCTTTGTTTCTTCCTGCCTGAGCTTCCAACCTCTCTTTAGCCCTGCCCCATGACTCCACCCTTCTCTCCTTCTCCTGGCCTTTTTCTATTGTGACCTCCAGCTCTGTCCTCTTCTTCAGCCCCCTTTCTCTTTTCCTTAGTCTCCAAACTCTGTCCTTTGAGCCTTTTCTCCTTTTCCTTCTCTCCAACTCTCACCATTCATTTGCCTTAATCCTGTCTCAAACACTGACCCTGCCCTCCCCAGCCTGGCTTTCTGGGATCTTCTTCCTGCCCACCTATAAAGGAACATCAAGGTTATGCCATTTTGTATTCAGCATGATGATGAATGGAGTGAACATCTGGCTGGCAGAGAATAGGGAATTCTTGGTCTGCTAGATACCTGGTGGAAGCAAATGTCTTACTGTAGCCGAAGAAAGAAAGGTTTTTTTTTTTACTAGGAGCCAGATTAGTCTCTCTGTTTAACATGCAATAGGAACTTATTACATGTTAACTTAATGAATTTAAAATAGACAGTAACTAGACAGAGATTTTAAAAAAAAAAACCAAAAACGCAAATGACCTAGGGATGTCCCCTGGAAGCCCTTAGCTGAAATGGGTGACAGGAAAGAGGCATTCTTTATACTCTGGTGTTCCTGTTCTGGGAGGCCTTGTTCCTTCTCTGATAAGAGTAGTTAGGAGATTGTCAGACTTTACCCTCACCAGCCTCTTTGTCTTGTAGCTGCGGGCGCTTACCTGCCCCCCCTGCAGCAGGTGTTCCAGGCACCTCGACGGCCTGGCATTGGCACTGTGGGGAAACCAATCAAGCTACTGGCCAATTACTTTGAGGTGGACATCCCTAAAATCGACGTGTACCACTACGAGGTGGACATCAAGCCGGATAAGTGTCCCCGTAGAGTCAACCGGTAAGTAATGCATACCTAAGCCACCAAGTCTGAAAGACACCAACCTTGAAAGAGGGGCCATAAAGGTAAAAGCAAAACCAGTAGAGGGTGGTATCACCAAATCTAAGGAAGTTTTTGAGGGAGAGATGCCAAGTAGGGTAAATGCCGAAAAATATAATTGGACTTCGCTACTGGAAGATTATCAGTGGCTTTTGCCAGAACAATTTCAGCAGAGTAGTTGAGCTAGTTAATCTAACTATACTGAGTTCAGAAATAAGTACAATGCCTACTACATTTCAGTATTAGTTGAATGAATAAAGCGTTTTAAAGAATGAGACATGGGTATGTTTACAGATTAAGGAGAAGGAGCTAGTGAAGATGGAGAGGTTAAAAGTATGGGACAGGGGAGGAATGAATGGGATGTCCTTGATGAGGCAGAAGGACATTGTAGGATGCACAGTTGGAGGGATTAGCCTTATTTAGAGGAAGTGATTGATCTTTCTTTCTTTCTTTCTTTCTTTCTTTCTTTGAGATGGAGTTTTCTCTTGTTGCCCAGGCTGAGTAGCTGGGATTACAGGTGCCTGCCACCGGCTAATTTTTTTGTAGTTTTAGTAGAGACAGGGATTCACCACATTGGCCAGTCTGGTCTTGAATGCCTTACCTCAGGTGATCTGCCTGCCTCAGCCTCCCAAAGTGTTGGGATTACAGGCGTGAGCCACTGCACCCGGCCTCTCTGATATTTCTTTAATTAATTAATTTTTTATTATTTGAAAACTTTATGTATAGTATAAAAAAAATTCAGGTATTTTAAAAAAAAAAAAAAAGCAGTGAAAAATGTCTCCTTACTACCCTGGTCTCTAGTCCCCCAGTACCATTAATTGTTGCCATTCTTTTTTTTTTTTTTTTTTCCCTGAGGCAGAGTCTCCCTGTGTTGCCCAGGCTGGAGTGTAGTGGTTCCATTTTAGATCACTTCACCCTCCGCCTCCTGAGTAGCTGGGATGACAGGCAAGCAATTCTCCTGCCTTAGCCTCCTGAGTAGCTGGGACTATAGGTACCTGCCACCATGCCCAGCTAATTTTTTGGTATTTTTATTTATTTTTTATTTTTTATTTTTTTTTTTTATTTTTGAGACGGAGTTTCGCTCTTGTTCCGCAGGCTGGAGTGCAATGGCGCGATCTCGGCTCACCGCAACCTCCGCCTCCTGGGTCCAGGCAATTCTCCTGCCTCAGCCTCCTGAGTAGCTGGGATTACAGGCATGCGCCACCATGCCCAGCTAATTTTTGTATTTTTAGTAGAGACGGGGTTCCACCATGTTGACCAGGATGGTCTCTATCTCTTGACCTTGTGATCCACCCGCCTCGGCCTCCCAAAGTGCTGGGATTACAGGCGTGAGCCACCACACCCGGCTTTTTTGGTATTTTTAGTAGAGACAGAGTTTCACCACATTGGCCAGGCTGGTCTCAAACTCCTGACCTCAAGTGATCTGCCTACCTAGGCCTCCCAAAGTGCTAGGATTATAGGTATAAGCCACTCCTGACCAATTGTTACCATTCTTTTTTTTTTTTTTTGAGATGGAGTTTCACTCTGTCACCCAGATCAGAGTGCGATGGTATGATCTCAGCTCACTACATCCTCTGCCTCCTGGGTTCAAGCGATTCTCCTGCTTTAGCCTCCCGAGTAGCTGGGATTACAGGCACTCGTCACCAGACCAAGCTAATTTTAGTATTTTTAGTAGAGACAGGGTTTCACTGTGTTGCCCAGGCTCGTCTTGATCTTCTGACCTCAAGCAACCCCCCCGCCTCCATCTCCCAAAGTGCTGGGATTACAGGCATGAGCTACTGTGCCCAGCCAATTGTTACCATTCTTGAATATGCTTCTAGATACTTTTTTACACATATGCAGGCATATATACATATGTAACATTTTTAAACACACAAAACATAGGGTTCTTTGCATTTTTCCACTGAATCAATATATTTTTGAACATGTTGCATACCAGCACATATGGATCCGCCTCATTCTTTTGCATAGGTTGAGTGGCTGTAATATAACTTACGTAATAAATCTATTGAGGAACATTTGAGTCTAAATTCTGCTACAGAAATGAAACTGTTGAATATTATTATATAGAGATACATTTTTGCACTCAAATATGAGTGTATTTATAGGATAAATTGCTAGACGTGGGACTGCTGGCCTAATACATTTCAGAGTTTTCAGATATTGCAACATTTTTTTTAAAGGTAAGTTGTACCCACTTATGATCCCATCAATAAGGCATCAGAATGTCTGTTTCCTATACCTACACCAATGTAATCATTCAGATTTTTTTGATCTTTGGCATTCTGATCTTGGTCTAATTTTAAATTGTATTTTTTCTAATAAGGGAAGTTGAATATATTTTCATATGTTTAAAAATAATATATGGAAGGGGCATTTTGAATGTAAGAGGAAAGGAGAAAAATTGATGCCCGCACATATAAATATGTTTGTGTATATATCTGGGAACTCGAGGTTGGCCTTGTGTACTATCCTCTGCTTTTTTCAGATATTAGAGCTGCTTCCTGATAGGAGATAGTAATGGGTTCTGGAGTTAGAGGATAGTGGAGAAAGTTCTACATAGTCTATATGGTCTAGGAGTGATAGAAGTAATCAGGGACATGAAAAAGATTGCTCGGCAGCACTGAAGCCTAATTGGGATTGACACCACATGATCACAATTGCTTCTAATACACCGTTTTGAGTGTTTTTATCCAGTAGTATATAAGAGCTTTGATTTAGAAACTGTGGAGGTCAGTTGGTTACATAAACTGGAATTTTGAAGGAATAATGGACACCCTGGGGTCTAAGTGTCAGAGAATAGGAAGTAAGAGATGGTAAGAGATGATATTTTTCTTCTAGTTTGTTTCTATTTCCAGTTCAGTTCCCTTCTACCTTTTTTGCTTATCACTTCTGGGATTGGAGATTGGAGCAGCCTGGATTCTGTTCCTCATTTTTTTGTTTTAACTTTTTTTTTTTTTTTTTTTTTTTTT